CTGTAATTGCCTCTAAATTTTGGATTCGAAACACCACCCCCCTGAATACGAGACAGAAGTATTAATTATTTTGTGAAAACAGGCTCTCAAATTGTGTTTCTTAGAAACTAAAGCCTTTATTTAACGACTGGCGTTAAGTCACTTGAAATAACTGCTTTAATTTTTAAACCTCTTGTTTGTAGATAGAGCTATGTAAGTGGAATTTGATACCTTGAGCTGGAAATGGAAACTTCTGTGATAATTATAAGATAGTAGGCTCCTTTGCTACAAAGTTAGAGAATATTACACAAGCATTCTCATATAAAAGCAGTGCAAAAGCAGTTGTATAATTCAGAATCTCCAAGCTCGCTACAGATGTACTTAATCCGAAAGGTTTTGCTTTCGCCATAAAGAAAGGAAAATTCTCTCTAGCAGATTTCAGCACACGCAGAAGAAAACCATCGCACGACTTCATAGGCTACATCTGTGTGTAAATCTCAAGTCGAGTTGTCTTTATTAACTACTTCAGTAATTTTCTTTTATCAACGAATTTTGAAATGGATTACATTTTTAAATCGTCCTTTAAGTACCAACCACACAATTCGATTTGCAATTTAATTTGCCAATGGATGAGATTTTTTAACATCTTGACAACAAACAAACATACTGGCAAACTGGCTGACTGACAACGTAACAAACTAACTAATCAACCATTTCACTGATTAGTCCATAGTCATTCAGGAATGTCCTGCTTTTATTTGACCAGAACTGTCAGCATTCCTACAGTTGGGCACTATATTTAGATAAATCCACCCACTTCACAACCTGAAAACGTCTTTTCTATAAAAAATGCTAATATCATTCTATCGTTGTATCTATCAATGGTCTATCATCATGAAATCGTCAACAGTATCTTTAAGTATTAGACTAATTAAAATCTACTTTTATCGATTAATTTTTTACAGAACTTCCAACACTGCATTCTTCGTCATAGACCACAGTTAAAACGTATCTTTTATGAACGATACTTTTCCATCCTTTCCAACATATTTATAAAATTTATACGTATAATTTGAAATTCTGTGTGTCATCTCACATCAACAATCCACCTTTGAACTCGGAAACTACACTCCAGAATCTTCAATTATTTAATTAATTTTCATATATATATATATAAATTTCTGCAAGAATTTCTTGTATATGAGGGTTAGTTTATCTCAGGTTCCTTGATTTTCTTGCTTAAAGTATTAAGTGAAGAGTATGAATATCTAATTGTGATAAATTTCCCGATTATTTTACTACATTGTTCCTCTTAGTTTTAAACTTTATCCCCTGCATTTTGTTACCACATAGCGTTACTATGCGGATTCTCATGAATTCAGAATCGCTTCAGATAATAAACAACACAACCAACAGCTACTTTCAAGCCTGAAGAGTTTAGTTTGTCTAATCCGTCGTGGTTCAGTTCTTCATAATCCTTCAAGTTTCCGAGTGCCCCTCCCCCCCATCACTGTCTTACCCTTTCTCATCCTTCACCTAAACTTCATGTCTTCCTGTTTCCACTCACACTCCTGGGATATGTAAATATATAGGCCTGTATTTTCTAATATGACATATAATTGTCTTTCAACAAAATTATATCGCCATTAATTGTTTTGCTTGGCTAATAATTACGGTAGTAATGACTTTTTCTTTATTATCCCTACAGAATGCCAGGCTAAAAATTATCTACAGATAAAAGTATCGAAATAAATAGAAGCTATATTGTATATTGGAGAAATGCCACACAAAATGTACTTTTGAATATTTTACTCTATAAATCCAATATGCCGTCTGTTTACCAGCGTGAGATACCTGGTAACATTAAGCAATATTTAATTTATTTATAAAAACCCAAGTTTTCAAAGCATAATAAAAATTTCGCTGGGGGACCGTTCATCTCATGGTGTCTACACATAGGAAAACCTAAAACAAAAAGTGGGGAGGAGGAGTTTATGTTTCTGGTATCAAACCGGCGATTACAGTGTGAGAGCAGTCAGACACTGGAATGACTAAAATATTTCTCTATTTGAATGTTATTGGAATATACGTATTTTAAACGAGCTGTAGGATAATAGGTAATTTCCTACACTTCTAGAAATGCGTATGATAAAATCTAGAACCGAACATAAATCTACATGAAACGTAATTGGCGTACTGAACATCCACCAACAGATCTGTGCCTATGTTGTATTATGTTGAGGGATCAAGCTACCAGACCACAAGGTAAACTCCGCAGTGGTACACTCTTCCGAAAATCAATGAGAACATTCTAATCCCTGCGAGATGAGTTTCTGAAATATATTTCCCCTTCATCATTGCCTAGCAAATACGTTTTCCATTATCCTCATTTTCTACTAACCACTTGTATCATCATGTTTCATCCTACTAGCTATACATTGAAAGTTTAATTCCATTTGCTTGTCCTTCCATCTCATTCCCTCTCAATAATCCTTTTCTCACTACCATCCCCTGCATTTTGTTCCATAACTACCCCCCAACTCTCATTCCAGCGTCTTTACACTCTTTACAGGAAATTGCACCCCCCACCATTTCCTAGCTACGAGCGTCTCAGCTTTTACAACTGCCGTTTCGTCGGACCGATTTCCCATCTCCACCCATCCTTATTCTCTTCTCATCCTTCCTCACTCCTTCCACTTATTCTTACGACGTACAAAAAGCAATAAATTTAGTTTTCAACCTCCTTTATAAATTTGCAAGCTTTCGACTTGATTCAGTGTTCTGTACCAGGTTAGGAGGGAGTATTATTGCAAAGCAGTTCACTGTCATGATACAACTACTCAAGGGATGGGGTTGTGGCGAGAAGCAACCCTCACTCCATCCCCTTTCAATTTCTCTTGAAGCCGCAATGGAAATCGGGAAGGAGGTAGCGAGGAGGGCAATTAATCTCGGAGCGTGTAATCGTAGGCTCTGTGGCCACTGCTCGCTACCCACGGAACTGGGAAAAGGTTTTCTGCATTAACTCTCTAAACCACTTCTTGAAATATTACAACATTTAGTGCGGATTAAAAACCACATCAAATTGGCAATAACATTTCTTCCTCTGGTTTATAACGTTTTTTACTTAGAATAACAAATTATCTTACAGTAGGTGTCTGTATTAAAACGAAAATATTTCATAAAATTAAAATGAATATATTAAAAAGGAAAAGTTTGAGGATGTGGATTGGACTAATCTGGCTCAATAAAGGGTAAAGTTCCGGGCACTTATGAACCTTCGACTTTCATAAAAAAAACATGGAATTTATATACTAGTGGAAAAACACGCTAAGTCATACTCTACATTAGGCGAAAGTTATAAAACAGGGAACATGTTAACATAAGAGCAGGCCGGCAGCTGTGGAAAATGAAAGCCATTCAGCTCAGATTTCTTTTTGAGATTTCAGGTTCTGACGGTAGCGAGTACTTACGAGGTGCGATCGGAAAGTTTCTAGACTGCGCCTATAAAAACACGTACACTTATCTCAGGTATTAAATTCATCCATCACCCTCGAAGTAGTTCCCCTGGGAGTGAACACAACGATCCCAGCGCCGCTGCCAAGCCTGGAAGCTTCCCTGGAAATCTTTCTTTGTCAGCCTGTCAAGCACCATCTGCCATTCTGCCTGAATCTCTTCTATCGTCTCAAATCTCCTTCCCTTTAGCTGAATTTTCATCTTTGGGAAGAGGAAGAAGT